GGTTTTTCGCATGGGGGAATGGAGGAGCCCGGATACATACAGGGGCACAGCAAACCGTTGGTGACACAAGATACAACATCCCCTGGACAATTGTTCGAAGCTCGACTTCTCCGCCAAGAAGAGGATACTAAACTGAGTTGATGAGTTTTCGGAAAGCTCTCGACGAGACGGCTCCAACGCCGTCATTTTCGGCACCGCCACAGCTTCTGCTGTGGAGTTAATCGGGCTTTGAAAATCTATCCGTCCAGGGGGTAACCCGGAAGAAACCTGGACCGTGATCAAGACGGCTACTCTCCTCGGTACCGCTGTCTTTACCCTTCAGAATGGAGACGCGAGCAGAGACAGAAAAAGCAGTGGTATCCCCCATAGGGTGGTGCTCTTCCTGAAGGGCGGACCACCCTGACGCCACCACCACGAACAACAGCAACAACCGCCAAACACCAAACACCAAACACCAAAGTAGTCACCATCCCCAACGGCAGCAAAACAACGACAGCGCGGAATCAATCTAACCTTCCGGAGAGAGGAAGTCGAGCAGCGCATCGCTGTCCCTGAGGGCAGGCTGCTTCACCGCCACCTGCAAGAAGTGCTGGATGCTCCGCCGTCGCCGCGCCAGGCGGCTAGCGTCGAAGCTTCGCCGGTACGAGTGAGGCAGGGGAGGGAGTTCCACTGGGAAGAAATTTCCAGGAAATTTCGCCGTGGCGAGGCCCGCAGAAACGGAGCAGCCACCAAGCACGAGTAGCAGGGTAGCAGAGCGACGTTTGTTGGGGGGGGGGGGGGTATACTCATGTGTTGCATGCCTTCGCGTTTAAACCATTGGCCACGCGTGTTCGAGAGGACGGAGCATTGTTCCCACAGGACCGATCACCGATGGCCAACCGTTCCTTCTTGTGTTTGTGGGGGGGGAGTGTGTGACGGTAAATCAGCGTGGGAAATTATCACCAAATGCGGAGGTAGGCGGCCCAGAAGGGTGCATCGTCCGCCGCCAAACAGGGCCAGGCTCGTATGTTGCAGCTAGGATGACGGTTAAATCGCGACAAAATATTTCGCAGTTTTGTGGCGGCGGTGCGCTCAGCTTTTGCAAAATCGACTCTCTGTGTCTGTCTGCAACATTTACTACATTTTGTGGAGACGAGAAAAAATCGCCGAGACACGATCTGCGTCTCTCCAGTCCAAAAACAAAAGGGTTCACGCTTAGGCGGCGGAACAACAAAATGACGGCGGGCCAGCAAGGACCCCTGCTGTCCCAGCCGCCGTACCCCTCCCTCACCGTCTGCCGCCGACACCTTGCTCAAGGCCGCCTTCAGCTTGATCAGGTCCGCCATTCTTCTCCATACCTGGCCACAGAACACCAGCAGACACCGCGGCAGTAGCAGCAGATGTCATAGCAGCAGCAGTAGCAGCGCGAGAACCGCTAACGTATCAGCAGACTATGTCGATATTGAAAGAATCGTATACAGTCCCGTGCCCGCTGTAAGGGAAACTTATGTTGTTCTTTTGTTATCACCGTTAAATCAGCATTCACAACATGTGTGGTTGTGCTGGAAAAACAACTGTCCTTATTGGGGAAGAAGTGACTTAAAATAAACTGTTTAACGTTGTTTCTTACCACATGCCAAGGGGCCCCATGCTGCTGCATAAAAATGGTTTCCTTTAAGAAGCGAGTGTCCTCCATGTTTTTGCCCTTAGAGCAGGGACTGTACAGACAAAGTAGTTACGCGCTTACGTGCCAAGAACTGTGAATATGAGGTGCAGTAAGTGCACGCACGCGCCCCGCGGTACATATATGTTCGGACATCATCCTTCCAGTCGCAACCACCAACCACCGGCAACGCAGAAAGGAGTAGATATGAAAAACAGAACGTCTCCTGCCAGCCCACAACACTGCATGAAGGGACAGCGCACCGCCCTGCCATGCATAGATGCCGTCCACAAATCTATCAACATTGTAACACGCTGGTCGTTTGGTTCGCCCTATGGTAAATCCTAATCCTTCAAGAAACACACACCAGATCACTGCGGTTTCACGCCAGAAATCAAACACAACAAACAACGCATACGTACATGAAAGCTTGTCTCAGCCGGTTCGGTGGTGCCATAAGGTTGCGTAAGATACCACACCCGAATGTCAAAGATCCATGTTTCCGCGACGAAGACTTGTGCCACAGCCGCCGAACGATACCTAAGTTTTCCGAAAGCTCTGGACGAGACTGTCCCAAGGCAGTCACTTCGCCAGGCACCCTCTGCAGTCATTATGCTGCACAGCGGTAGTAACCAAGCTCGAAACTCGAGGACCGCTTTCGCGATGATGGTATTGTGCGTGTTTCGTGCCCCTAACCCTAAACCCCAAGCCACCCCGTTTCCCCTACTAAAACCAAGTCAAATATACTCCTCGCGAAGGCCGCTGACTCCGAGCTGCGATGCTCAGTGCAGGCAGACGCACCTCCCAACGCGCGCCCGCGCTCGCACCCGTAGTCGACGTGGCCACCGTTATCTTGTAGCACGCGAACTTGCTGTCCACGACGCGGACGTCGTTCAATGACAGGCTTGCTCCCTCCAGGGAAACTCTCACCTTTGGCCAATCAAGTGGTTCGATCGGAGGGACGGGGGGGGGGGGGCGGTGTACTCATAGTCATGCATGCCGTAGTCGTTAGGCCATTGACCTCGCATCCTTGCAAAGCCGGGACGGAGCACGTCGGGATCTCACCGGACTAGGCTCTCACATCACCGAGCGCGAAGCGCCGTGAGGTATCCGGCGAGTCGCATGGAGGGTGCCCTGCATCCTGCTAAGGGTGTTCTGCATCTCGTGCTTACTTCCTTGCATATGGATAACAGCTGTGAATGAACTAATCTTTTTGCTGGTACTCGAACAACTAAACACAACGTGTGGCGATCATCCCCTTCGCGCGGAGTGAAGGTTCTCGACCCCGCACAACATGATCTACTCGACCACCATCCTGGAAGGAGGGAGGGGGGCAAGTATCGGGTTCTAGATGGGTACCCTGTGCGACTAAATAACCAAGCAGCGGGAGTGCCACATCCGCAAAGAACACCAGCAGTAACAGCAGCCGAGGTCAGGTCATGCTTCTCTTCTCACCCTCTCTTGTCCGGGCTGCTGCTTGGAAGGCAACGCACAGCGCTTGCGCGATCGGAACCTCCTCAGCACGCCCCCCCGTCCTCTGTTCTCTCCTGCGGTGCCCCCTCCGTCAACAACCCCCCTAGTCCATTCCACGGGGATTCCGAGCCTTTCCAACGCCGCCAGCAGCAGCTCAAAGGCCCTGCAGACAAGGGCGGCAAAGGTGGTGGTTAGTACGTTTGGGTGCCAGGAAACACATGGTAGATAGTATCCGTAGCACCGTGTGCCGCCTGTCAGAAAAGTGGTTCCTTATGGACACGGAGTAGCAGAATGACCCGTATAAACGCAGAAGTAGCGAGAGTCGAGTCGAATAGTCTTTTGATCCCTATGGGACCAGACTGCTTGCCTCCGACTTGGCTGGATAATCAGAAAAAGATGCCCGCTTCTCAATTATCGAGAGAGGAGTAGTGGCACTTATGAAACAAAGGGCATTGCATCCAAAATGCGGATTAGCTCTCAGAGCCATGTTTTTTGGTCTACGCGCCGTGACGAAGGCCGCCCACCTCAACCTGGGGGCGCCAGCCTGGGTAGAAGGGTGTCGTCTGAAGGGCCATAGTAGTAGTGGCCGTACTTTCGAAGGCAGGAGCCAGCAAGCAAGGCGCGGCTCTTGATGCTTCATTCGTACTATCAATGCTCTGTCGTTTACTTCGAAACGCAACTCCCGAACGAGCGCTGAGCGTCCCCTTCGAAGTACCGGAGGAATAAAACCGTTACTCTACTTGGAGTTCTCGATCCCTGCCTACCAGAAACCCTTCCGACGAACTACTAGGACTCCTGAGAGATCAACGACAAGGTACTAATCACTCCCAAGCAGCAAGCATAACCCGTAGCTGCTGCTGCTGCTGCTGCTGCTGCTGCTGCTGCATGCGTACGGGAAGGGTGTCCGTATACGGATACTCTGGCCAATGCAATGCTACAATTGTCTCTAGGAGCAAGTGATCGAGGTTGGCCATCTATCTGCTATTAGCTGCCAGACCAAGGGCGCGCCCTGGCAGCTGTTGCATGCACAACCCCTAATGCGTCAGGTTCGGAGAACACCCCGGGTATCTCCGGAGGAGACCCCAGTCATCTCCGGGGAAGAGACCCCAGGCATCTCCTAGGCGAGCAGCTCGGACAGATAACAAAGAGTTACATAGCACGATCACTCCCAGATGATCACTTAAGTCGCAAAAAAAAACTAAGATAGGTTTTGGTGCCTCAATTACGGGATCTGGTCGCCGAAGTGGCTTGCGCCGGGCGGTGTCGGTTGCCTTGAGCGGTATTTTTCTCCCCTCGCAGTACAACATACTTGTCTTGGGGTTCTGTATCCCGCTTGTGAGGAGCTGCAATACGGGGTCGACAGGAAGAACCATGCCTTTATATTGACCTCAAACCATTTAAACACGAGAGGGTGCATTCCCTACTCGGAGTATATTTCGTGTACATGATTACGATCCTCTTCCTTGCAGCGGTGCCATGTCGGGATGGAAGTCCACAGCACTAACACCAATGCAAACGGCCCTCTCCAGCATACCCATAGGGTGCCGTGCGCCACCCTTTCAGAGACCATGCGCGCCGTGTACCAAACGTCGCCAACCCCAAAAAGGTTGCCATTTGTGTTGCAAGTGTGTCGTCTCACCGCTGCAGACGGGCGGACGTCATCAACGGAATCTCATTTATCGGCGCTGCAAGCATAGCAGTTGCAGTATTCAACGCAACACTTGGAAGCGCCTTTGATTCCGTGGGAAGGGGTTGGGGAAGTCAGGCCGCAAGCATTCCCGTCCTGGTGCTTTTTCGCCGAGCAGCCACTGGAATCGACCGGAAGACATGCTCTCGGCTGGCACTTCCAGTGACGCGACGATCATCACAGCTGACGAAACAGGAGTCTGGAACCGAAACACTAGTATAATACATGACGGCCCGCTCGTAAGAAATACTTCAATAATGTTCGTAAGAAACCGAGGCTCGATTTTCGACCTTCAGAACAATGAAATTGAGCATAGCGACCGGCGCTACATCAATTCCTATATATTGTAGATCGAAGCCTTTGCTCAGTGGTACAGTAGGGACAAAATAAGGGTTCTGAAATTACTTCAGCACATCCCTTTCAACTGTGGTTATACCTTGAACGGGTGGTCTTTCTGTGAGTATGCGTTCATGTAGATTTTCTAAAAGGTTTGAATCTCGCTCAAAATAGGTGTTGATATTCAAGAGGTTCAAACTCCAAGCCTCGATATACCCGTAAACTGCTGTCAACATTGTGTCGACACACCCATCCACCAGGACTGCCAAGCAACGGCCTAGCACATTAGAGTTAGCAGTAGACCCATACGGGTGCTCTCTCGCCCCAACACGGCATCTCTTTGGGTGCGGGAAAACGCGGTGTAATAGATACCGGTACAATTTCGGCACATCCACCGAAGGCCTAGGGCCTAGGGCCGGAATTGTGCCTACTACCGCCGTCCGGTGATGTTATATACTCGTGTGCGTACGTATTTGGCGGTGTCCTTCCTGTGAAATGAGGATTGCTACTCCTGTACTGTTCCATGTCGAATCACTGGTGAGGTGTGCAGCACAATTCTCCGACTCCTTACACACCCACAGTGTTCCGAGCAGCTTCATACAGCAGCAGCGGTCTGCCTAAACTACGAAAAATCTAGGAAGTCAATTCCGCATGGAATTGCACAACCGACCGGGCGACATCAAGCCCGGTAATGGCGTGGCCCACGCAGTATTGCCCCCGTTCACAATGGCTCTCCACACACTGGCCTGCGAAGCCAAGCAAGTCCCTTTCGAAGAACAACAGAGGAACTTTGTGAAAGCAGCAGTGATCTCTGTAGACTCTCCGCTTTGTATCTGTATGTACGCGAAAAGCTTTGTTTTCGCAAAACTCTGTTTCATCGCCATTTTACATCGGCATCGGCTCGATGCAGTCACATGAACGGGGGCTGTGGCGTGATTGTGTGCATTCTTTAACGCCAGCGTGATAGCGAGCGGCATGCTGCTCTGCTCCAAGAACGAATGTGACGGGGTTTGGTGCGCACCTCTTGCCGGCGCTGAAACGAGGAGGTGTACCACCTCCCGCTGCTGCTGCTGTGCCAGGTCCTGCCGGCGACGTTTCTGCGAGCACGGCGCTCACCAGCACCAGCACCAGCACGCTGCAGAGCCACTGCAACGCGACCCATATGATCGCGGTCATGGAGGCTAAGAGCCACCTGCTAATAATATGTGTTGTGTTTTGTGATTCTCGCACACAGCAAGCTGCGGCTGCACACCGACTGCCGACAGAGCTGGCCACTCTTTTTCAATGTATGGGTGTACTTTTGGCCGTGATATACGGTGCCCCTGCTCAGGCGTTCGCCTGCTGCCCCCTGCCCCGTGTTACGGAAATTGGCACGCTGCTCCCGGTCGCACAACAACCAACTCGTTGCGTGGAGGCAGAGAGTCAACACCAACCGGTTGTGTACCCTGTGCTTTGAATCTTTAATTAAAACTCTGAGGAGAGAGACAGAGACAGAGAGACAGAGAGACCGGCTTTCGCTAGTCATCACGCGTTCAGGAGGGGGAGGCGAGAGAGAGAAGGGTCAATACAGCACCTGGGGGAGAGGAGTTTGGTTTTTGCGGACAAACCATGGGCAACGCCACGTCCAGCGTCGCGGAGATCAAGAAGAAGGGCGATGAGTACAACAAGGCTGTGAGGAGGGAGCGCGCCCTCACCGGCATGCCCGGACTCGCGCAGCAAATGTCCAGCAAGCGCTTCAAGAAGGACGACCCCAACACAGAGCAGTGGAAGGTGCGAAATGTCCGGCGAAATGTGGTGTTTTGTTGCCGTACAAAAACACGACCGCATTTTGCGTGTGTGCGATTTTTCGGGGGCGGCGCATTGCTGAACGCCCACGACCTGCTTGCTGCAACATCCCAAAACATGACAAAGAATGAATGTGCCGCCAGTGCTAGTTGGACGTTGCGCGCGCAGGGGCGGAGATGGGCGCCTGTGCTTTCCTCGTCGTGTTGTGCTGCTGATAGCCGCAAACCAAAGCTCTTTCGGGCGGCTCGCGCGCGCGCGGGGAAATAGGAAATAGCCGCACGAGAAAAGAGGGGGAGACTTGAAAAGACACAAAATTGAATTGAAGTGGTATTCGCCTCTTTGGCGGCTGCAGAGGCCAACCCCCGCTGGAGATCAAACCCGCGTGTGTATCGATCAGGTGTATAGGTACCGATATCGATCGTAGAGCGTGCAGATTGGCGCGTCGGTTTAGCGGATGTTTGCAGAAGTAGAAATGCGATCAACACAAAATCCACACGTACATACCTTGTTGGCTCTTTGTCTCTGCTGTTGTCGGACGGCACGAGCAGAATATATTTTTAAGGACATGAGGTTGGCACCAGAGGACCACCACACGCGCACCTTTCAAAGCATGTGATTATTCCCGTGATGGCACGCGTGATGCGAATGGAAGCCAAGTACATAGATCGTGACGTGTATTCTACGGACGTCCATCCGGTGCATGTTGTATCCGCCACGTGCAACAACGAGGACAAGCATACATGCTCGCTCGATGTTTTACGTTCGGAACTTCCGTGTTGTGTGAGTTGCGGGTGCTTCGACGGCCTACTACAGCAGTACTTGTTTTTTTTTTTCTTAATTTTTTTTTTCACAACGAAACCATCTCTATCATTGTAGGCTTGTGGTCGCCAGCGGCACCGACCGGCCCCAGTCAGCCGGGCGTTGAGGAACACGCCGCCTGTTGCCATGGAAGATCACCGCACCACATGTTGCCTTTTTTGTTAGAGTCCTGTGGGATCTCGCACTCCTTACGTTTGTTGGGCATGCATGGCGACAACTGGGTAAATCACCATCATCCACCATCATACAGATCGATCAAGAAGGAAGACCACCCAAAAAGTGCCGTCTGTTCCTTCGGACAAGATCGAGAGGCGTCGGTGATTACAGCAGTACCGCCGTACAGATGTTTTTGTACTTAGCACCAGCTGGTATGCATATCACTGGTATAAATCATCAGTGTATGACTTTAAAAGACTCGAAATAAGTCCAGTACGCAGCCGGTTTTCCTCCACTCACTGAAAAGACTCCAAAACATCACGTTCGACTGCTGTGGGTATGTGGTTATATCTCGAACGGGTAGTCTTCCCGTGTGTGTATTTATTTTTTAATACTCTATGTATCCGCCCGCAGATCTCACCCCCTGGAGAATGAACCCAAACACTGCTGAAAGTTACCCCACCCCGAGACCGGCCTGTAGCCCAACCGGTCTCTCCCCTACTTGACACTCCGGGCGTATGCATGCATCTCACGACGAACTCTTCGCACCTCCCAGCCGCAAGGGGCTCCATCTGTTTCATGTGAGGAGCCCTACTGCTGCACCTACATGCGTCTCGCGTTCCGCCTCAATTATTCACGGAGTACTGGGTCTCCCGGAGTGTGCTCGGAAGAGCACACTCCAGCAGCAGTGTAATGCAATGCAAGATGAAGTCGTAGTAGGCAGCAGGACCAGCCCACCGCTGGCTGCAGCAGCCAGCTGTGAGGTTGCACAAGCTCAGCAGCTCACACACCAGACAGACGTGTTTTGGACTCCCCTAACAGCCCAGCAAACCTCAACAAAACATCACAGATACGTGTATGTTCTCACGTTTGGTCTTCATGGACGGCACCGTTTGGTGTTGTTTCTAAACGCCCTTTCCGGGGCCCCAACGCCCCAGAGGCCTTCCTTCTGCGTTCGGCTGTCTTGTCCTTATTGCGAGAAGGTTCAGCCAGTCACCTTCCTCATCGACCCTGAGGTCGAATGTCGAGCGCGGATCCCCTGCCTCGAACGTTATGCTGCGGTGTTCTCTGTCCCACACGCACAGCCGTAGCGAACCGACGAGGTGGAACTCGTGCATTGTTCACTAAAATAGACGAAGAATGAGAGAGAGAGAGAGAGAGGCAGAAGGGCAGCGATCGCTACGGTACGCACTTGATCGATTGGACATCGCATGCGAGAATTCCCACAGCAGCCCATGAGACTACGTTGAGCTCCGAACTCGCACCAAGGGTCAGGAGGTTTTGTGAGGCTATATGTTTGCCAACTGAACCGCTGGTGAAAGCAGCTTGGCCGGGAGCTTTGTCACCCTGCGCCAGTTTCACGGGTTTTTTTTTCAGCTCTCACACTCAGAAAAGGGGGAAGAGGGGGCCACTTTCCAGCGAAAACCACTCCTTCATCCTCGTGGGCTCCGTGATGGTGTTGGTCCAGAACCCCCGAAACAGCGCTCTTCCTCTTGTCTCTTCTAATGGTGGGAATTCTTCGTGTGGACCCACACACTGCTACGTTACAACTGGTTGTCCGCTGGGCACTCTCTCACGCTTGAAACCTGAGGGAGAAGCGTACGCCCTACTTGATTCGTCTTACTTGTACATGAGTCCCACGATCGTTTGTGGAGCTCCTAATGTAGGTCTTGTCTTGGTCGTTTGTTGCATACCATACTAGCCATTGCCAGATTCGCGCAACACCCTGTCACACCACCATGTCACACCAATGGCACATGCACACAACATCTGGGGGTTGTTCGTGAGAGTCGCGAGACTGCCGTTGGTTGTCCTTGTCCCTGCAACGAAACCGTCCTTCGCGCAAGCAAGCGATGCTTCGCGTATACTGGCCGTGCCCCTGATCTGTTTGCTCTGATTGAAATCTTTGGTGTGCATGAGATATGCTGAACGGTCATAGCTTTTTTTTGAGGCACACGTTTTGTTTTTACAAAGAGGTACCATATCTGTTTCAAGTCTACCGCCAGTTCAACTTTTTTTTTCGATACTTTTTGCCCTCCTC